CCACCAGGAGTAACAAAGTGGACATTATGTTTCACTACAAGGCCTGTGGCTGTCCCTAGACTGCAGCTATAGAACTGGGGATCATCCTAATGAGATTCAGGTTCTTTCTAGCACTTTCCCAGTGGACCAAACAGTTGAGCAGCAAGCAACTGTCCCTCAGCATGCTTTCATACCTTCCTACTTATTCAGAATTTCAAATCACTATTTTAAAACCTGGAGCTAAACTATCATGAAAGTCAGGTTTTAGCTCTGGAACACTCTAGAACAAAATAGCAACTTCTGCCTTGCCTTTCTGTTGGAGCTGGGTCCCCATGCCCTTTCTCGGGCATTGGGCCTCATCTTTGACTTCTTTGCTTGTAGTCTGCACTTGGTTTACTCATCCCCACTGCAGGGTCTAAGGTATAGACTAAGGCAGAGTATTGCCTGGAGCCAAGAGCAGGCACTCTGAGCTAGTCAGCTCCCAGGGAAAGGTGGTGCTTGGGAAAGTGAAAAGGAGCATGAAAGCTGATGGGGGCCACTGGATTGGGACCACAGGAAGAGGCTGCCAGCCTCACTCTCTCCTTTTTGCCTCCTATGTTGTTTCCTCTATCCCTAAGGCCACGTGTGTCCTTGCCACAAGGATAAGAAAGCAGCCTCTTGGTGGACTATGTTTGGAGGTTTGCAGGCCCCTGCTTCCAGTTTCTCTTCTGCCCCATACTCAATCAGTAGACCCCTCAGAGCTGGCTCAGCCAAAAACGTGTCATTCCTGGCCACGGAAATGGTTAGCTGCATAGGTCTGAGAAACAAATTCACAACCTACGCTGCACATGACCTCCTGACGTAGGCCGGTGCTCTCTCTGCGCGATAACAGGGGTGCTATTATCATTCCTGCTATTACTCCTATTATGCTGGTGCATTAGATGGCCTCAAAAGGGAGAGATAATTGACTACCATCACCCCAACCAGTGTGATTGGGTACCACGTACAAAGAGCTTAAAATTAAAGGCTGGCATTGTGGGCCTGGTGAGGACAGAATGGTTTACAAAAGAGACGCGCTCGCCTGCTCCATGACACCCTCCCAGAGACACTGTAAGAGGACAACCAATTTGGCATCTGATTTAGATCTGGCTCTTCTTTTGTTACCTAATGAGTGCCATGGGGGCCACTGTGGGAGCTGCGAGGTTGCCCCAGAGCAAGATGATGGGCAAACGTGCTCAGGGGAGCTACATGGGGCTTTTTGACACATTCCCAGAGCTGGATTTCTCTGGAGCCCCCCTCACTACCAAGTCATTGGGGTCCTTGCTCCCAGATTTGACCATCCAGTAGAGGAGGAACATCTTGCGCTCGAAATGTTCGCGCTTCAGGCGCCTTGCGATGGTGATGGGTGTTTCCCCTTTCGAGTCTCTCTCATGGATGTAGGCACCATGTTCCAGTAAGGGCCTGATGCAGTCCATCCTGCCCATGGCTGCAATCACATGCAGGGGCGTCCTGCCCAGGGGTGATTTGCCCAGGCAGTTGGCTCCTGTGAGATAAAAATACCTGTTGGAGTAGACTGCTCTCCAGGCAGAAGCCCCACCATCTGACCCTGAGGTACAAGAAGAAGAGCGCCAGGGCTATGGCAGGAACCAAGGGAGAGTTGACATGGTGACCTCCCTTAGCTCATCACCCCTCCCATCCAGCCTGGTCCCATGGGGCACCTATTCCAATCTCCTGTCCCAAGCCTATCACTGAGTCTTGCTGCCTGTGGTGCACTCTTTGAGGTCTTTATCTGCCTATCTCACTACACTCCAAGGCTATCTTCACCCCTCCTTTGTGCTTCCTACTGATTCCCTTTGCTTCCAAAGTTCCAGCTCCATGTATCTCCTGTCTTTACTCTGAAATACATCATTCTGCACCCTGCCCCAGGGCCTTTGCACATACCATTCCTGTTATAGACTACACTTTTGCTTTTTTTTTTCCTTCATAAGGTTTCGGTAACTTTCTTAGTTCTTCCTCCTTACAACCTCTACCCCACCCTATACAAGTTCAATAGGCACTGTGTTTAATGCATCCCATGTGTGACTGGCTGTGGAATTAATCATTTGTAATCATTGGCTGGCTTTCCCACTTAAGATCCATGAGGACAGAAACACACATTGTTTGAGCACTGCTGTTTTTATCCTCAACACAGCTAGAGAGGTACTGGGGAGGTGGCAGGGGATGGCAGCCTAAGCATGGATTCTCTGGGTCTAGATTCTCATAGCCTCCTGCAGACAGATGGATCATGGATCTGGATTCTCACTGCCTTCTGCAGACAGATGGGCTAATGACAGGGGTCCAGCATGAACTTGCAGAGTTGAATCAAATTTTGGGTAACAAAAATCATGACACAGAAAACAAGGCAATTCAATTCAACCCAGCTGGCATTGCGGCTGCCTCCACAGTCTGATTGAGCTATGGCTGGCTGGCGAGGCGAAGCTTAAGTAGGCTTCCAGAATGCAGGCACGACCCTGCACCTCCCCCTGTGGTGGCTGCAGAGGATGGAAAACTTTGCAAAGCCGGCCGTCATTTTTTAACGGGTGCCTTCAAATACATCACAGCTCCATCAGAGCGAAGATGACTTTTTATGAGCTTAAAGGACTGCTGGGCTGTGAAAGCCCATCTTTCATTGTATAAGAGAAGTGCAGAAAGGCAGTGTGGGATGGCAGAGAACATGGTGTTATCACCCAGCCATCCCCGAGCTCTGTATCAGAGATGTGACATGCCAGCATTCTGCCCTGGAAATTTGGGGTTATCTCCCACCCTGCCTGGTATAAGGGGGGAATAGAGCCAGGACTGAGCAAGACTGCAGATGGAAAGAAAGGGTCCTCCATGGGTGCAGCAGATTAAAAAACCAGAGGCTTTTGCTATTCCTTCCTTTTCCCAAGGAAGTCATGGCTTTGGGCTGTCTGAACCTGTGGTACTGTTTTAGTCGTTTGTCTCTCAATCAGGGATACCATTCTCCCAACCAGGGGGAACAAAAGATCCCGTGACATCTGTCCAGACACAGTGCTTACTACAACTTTGGAGAGAGAGAGAGAGAGAGAGAGAGAGAGAGAGAGAGAGAGAGAGAGAGAGAGAGTCAGTCAGTCCCTTAAGTGGAGACATGATGAAAAGGAGGGGGGCAGTGAGCATCTTTCTGAAGATCTACTCGAGAGGACCTCCAGCCAGCCTGCTGGCCAGTCCTTGTGATACCCAGAATGAAGTCCTTTGGGACCGTTGCAGAATCTACTTCAGGTGGGACAAGGATGAAGATAGACCATGGGCTGCTTGGAAAAGACAAGCTAGGAAGTCCTGGACACCCACTATGTCTGTCTCACTGTCCTATAATTTTGGTCCTACCACAATAGAATGTTCTAGAGACCTGGCCCAAAGATGTGCAAGCCTCTGGTGGGCATGTCCTGAGGAGTGTGTGACCAACGAGCCCAGTGGGAGACATGTTTGGTGGGTGAGAAGACTGGGGTTCAGGAAGCCACTGCTGAAGAAACAGTAAGACAGGTAGATGACTCTGTCCTCCCAACCAGACAAGGCCATGCTTTCTGTAGAATTACCAAGTTCTAGAAGATACCGCACAGCATCCGCATGACCTCTGTGAGCAGAGATGTACAAGGCCACAAACGCCCTCTGGGCGGTCCACTGCCTCCATTGCTCACCCTTAAAGTGCTGTGAGTTGGCCGTTCGGTAGAAGGTATCCTCGCTGATGCCAAGGCATGACAGCTAGGTGAAAGAAAGAGGTTAAGGTTGTCTCTAGAGTGTGACCCACACCCTAGCACCTGTGAGGTTGACTTGATCCAAACTAAGGTGCACAGTGGAAGCAGAGGGGTGCTGACAGGAAGTGTAGCCACACCCCCACCCCGTCAGGCAGGGGACACAGGAAGGCCTTCCTGTCAATGTTTTAAAGGGAGAAAATAACTTTGCTAGTGTCCAGAGGAAGATGTCTGTGGACCTTTGGAAAAACAACACAACATGGTACCCCAGAAGAAGAGGGAGGTCCTTTTGGAGTCATGATGGATTCTGCATTTCCAATCTATTTTTGTTCCCATTGTCTCTGTCAACTTCTGGAACTTTCTGAACTCTGCTGGCAGGTAGATAGCCCACCATAGAACCATTTGGGAAGACACAAGTCTTCAGGGATGGGAGGAGGGCCAGGGATGCCACAGGGAGGGCTGTGCTTCAGATGTCCGGGGTCGGGTGGTATGAGCAGCAGCAGTGAAGGCAGCTGCACAGGGAATAGAGGGCAACAGTCTCCTCCTCAGGCAGGAGGAGGTAAGCCCAGGCACTGACTAAATTGCCAGCAAAGAGGGGAAACTGAGAAAGTAGAACTTGGGGATGTAGAAAAGTAGCTAGAAGACATGTTACAGCTGGGGCTAGATAGACCTTGTTCCTGTTCCTTAGCTGGTCTCTGTAATACAGAGCTCACCGCTACCCTTGCTTCCCCGATGCATCCCAGCACCTCTCCCTCCACTCAACCCTCCCTTGAACCCTGTCCCACCAGGAAACTGCCTCTTCCTCCACGGGATCTCGGAGCTCTGCCCTCAAAGTCTTCTGAAGAAGGAGCAGACACTTGCCCCGGTGCCACCCATTCACTTTCACGGATGGGTAAGCATTTCTGTCTTCTTCTTCCTTCCCATCCTCCCCCAGAGCTAGTGGGTGGCCCAGCAGGGGGTCTGGTGCACAGGCTGCTGTCCCCCCAAATCAGACATGACCTCCTGGGTGTTTCTGCCCAGCTGCAAATGGCAAACAAGTCCCTGAGCACAGAGCTGTACAGCCCCACTCTTAGGATTAAATTTGATTTTCTACCTGACCAACACATAGATAGAAAATGTATCACCTGGGCTCCACTGGGGTGGAGTAAGCAGGTTTATAAACTGTCAATAAGTAAACCTGGGGGACTCACGAGGCCAGAGTGTCTGGAAACACTCCATCCAGGAGTCTCATCTTTCTTCCCTACTCTGAGGCCTTTATTCAAATGCTCATGCTAAAGACTGGGGGTCCCTCAATCCCTAATATTGAAAGAAGCATGAAACCACCTTACTGGGGTCCCCTTCCACGGCTGCCAAAACCAGTTCCGTCCAACCATCATAATGCCAGATACATAATGAAATAACTGCTCCAGGGATAACATCGTAGAACTTCAGGGTAGCATCATCCATCAAAATTCCTATGGGGAACAATTTTTCCTTTTAACAAAATTAGGACTTAAAGAGAAATCACTGTATCAGTTGAGACAGTGTCTGACCTTGAATCACACAAAGATACTTTTAAAATCTTGAGCAAAGGGGGAAGAAAATCTCCCACTTGATGGTTGCACAGGAGCCCGTTTGCTGCTGCTAATGCTTTTTAGAAAATTAATTTGGCTCAGCTCAGATCGAAGCTGGACCCAAAAAGAAAAAAAAAACATACACAATGGCAATGATTTATAAAATTTTGTAATTACAGCTTGTCCTGTTGGGGAAAAATACATGAGTCAGTGAAACCATTTTATGAGGCAAACTCCACAAATAGAACTACTTAAATTTGAGCTATACATCACAGGCCCGACAGTGACAGTGTACTTAGCAAGTTATATACCTTCAACTGAATACCGACTCCAGGGAATGTCGCCATTAGCTGGCTAAAGAGATGACAGTGACATGCAAGATCTTGCAAATGACAGTGACATGCAAGATCTTGCAAATGACAGACAGCCCACGTCAGGGTTTTTCCACGTAGGTGCTTAACTGACATTCTCAACTAGGTAACTAACCCTCTCTACCCCAGGCACCACAGCCTCTACGGCCTCCACAATGGCACATTAGCTGCACCTACAGCAAGCTCTTACAGTCAAGGATATCCCCCAGACATTGCCCCTGGTGGGGACACGTTGTCCCCATAAAGCCTATGGTAACATTAGAAGCAAATATCAATGCTCACTGTATTTGGACCTGAGCGTCAGAGCTCTTGCCTGACTGAGCTTGGCATCTTGAATAAGATGAGTATGTGATCAACAGTGGGTCTAGTCCCGTATTCATACACCAGCCAGGCTTGGTGGCACACACCGGTCATCCCAGAATTTGGGAGTTGGAGACAGGAGAATCAGCAGTTCAAGACTATCCTGAGATATATGAGATCCTGTCTACATATATAAATAATAACAAATTAGCCCAGGATTTGGAAAAGATAGTCGAAGGGACATTATGTAGGAAGTGGTTTTTGAAAGGTGGTATTTGGTTGCTCTTTGAAAACGCACACATGTTTCTTTCTTGGTCCACCTACCATCTTCGGAACTACAGAAGACTGGGTCTGTTCATAAGCAATAATGATCTGCCCAAGCTACCCCAGCAGCTTTCCAGGTGAGCAGAATCCATGCATGTTCTGATTTCTTGGTAATTATGTTGGGTCTCTGTGCCTGACCTGAGGGGAAGCCTTAGGATGACCCTCCAGCCTCTATGGCTCTTCCTCTACAGGGGACAAACTGAGGCTAGGCCCATCTAGAACGCGGCAGAGCGGACTCGAGTCAAGCTTGTGGGCACCGTCTGGTGACCAGACTCTCAGGAGAATGGAGACAGAGAATGCTGCTTAGCAAATCTGTAAATTGGGTCTCATTTGTGGATTGAATGTGGTAGCCAGCCCGTCACTAGCGTGAGACAACCTGACTTTTTAACCACTTTGTAAATGTCTAGGAGAGATGAGTTTCCTCACTCACAGCGGTTCCTATGCAATCCCTAGCATATCCCCTTTGCAGATGGGCAGCCACTACCTTGGGCTCAGAGAAATGCTACTAATTATCAAGAGATAAATAAATGATTGGCAGGGGCAGCACTTGCCCATGAATTTGCTCGACTCGTTGAGACACGGCCATCGAGATACTTTGCCACCATGATCTCACTTGCTCTTCCCCTCTGCAACCTTGGAGGTGGGCAGATGTGTCAGCCAGTTATTTACAGGCAGGGATCCAAATTTCTCTTAGCGACAGATCAGCACCATCTCTACCGGGCCAGCCACAGTCAGAACAGAACAGCCCAACACAGCACAAGGGTCAGGCCTCCAACCGTTGCTAAGTGACTGCTGAGTCTTAGCACTGTGACATCAGAGTGAAGTCATCCCACTTTGCATTCCCGCTTGAGCTTGCTTGAATTTATTGCTCATTGGTGAAAACAAATGAGTCAAGGTGGTCCAGAGTTGGGAGGATACATAATTTTCCAGTTCCCTGTTGGGGGCCATTTACTTAGTCCCCCTACAATGCCTCAACTCATTCATAACTTGTTAGCTACAGACTGAAGCTCAAAACACAGCTTCGTACTACATAAAGCTTCAAGAATATCAGAAAGTCTCTGTCAACTACTGTAAGAAAATACATGTGCCATGGAAAACACTTAACCTATTTTTTAAAGTAGCAAGGGAAAGTGTTTTGGCCTTGCCTACACACTGGTGGTTTGCAGAGTCATTCCTGTCCACCGGGGAACAGCACAGAGAATTCTAGAGCTAATGGGGCTCTGCTTTCCAGATTAGGAAACTGAGCCCAGGAAGGGCAGCGTGAGAACACTGAGCGTGGGGACAGGCTGCTTTCAGAGCTGTCTCCATCCTCCCCAGGCCCTGCAGTACTCTGCAGCGTCTCCGGGATACTGGCTGCTCACATTCCCCCCGGCAACCCCAGAGATTTTTTTTTTTTCTTTTTTTAAATCTTCATTTTCTTGAAGTGTTTTGCGTTGATTTCCATCAGGTGGGGAGATGATGGAGCCCAAGGGGCTTTGATCCTGTTCTCATATCCTAAACATTGTAGGGACTGGGGACAGGGGCAGCCACGTCCTCAGATGAGGGAAGGATATAGATGGATGGATAGGCTGTTGAGCCTCTGACCTCCACTGGGTGCCTCCCCATGGAACTTGTCTAGATTAGGGTCCATGGGGGTCCTGATTTAAGATAGAGGCTCACGGGGGGTCCTGATTTAAGATAGGGGTTCATGGGGGTCCTGATTCAAGAGAGCTGCAGGTGTTGGGTTCTAATCCTGCTAGGCTCCCTTTGAGCCCCCAATGTGGGAAAGGACATAGCTTGGACCTTGGGGTTTGGATATAAACTAGGTCAGTGTCAGGATTGGGGGTCTCATCAGGGGCAAGGTTTGCTTTGAGTTCTGGGGTCCTGATGAGAGCAGGATTTACTCTGGTTTTGGGGTTCCCATGACAGCAAGGTTTGCTGGCTGGTTAGGGGTCCTGTTTTAAGAGGAATCTGTGGCAGGATTTGGGGGTCCTTGCATGGACTGGTTGGCAGCTCTGGCTGGTAGCAACTGAGAGGAATCAAACAGCTCTCCCCTGAGATTTAGGGTCCTGCTAGTGACCGAGTTTTGCTCTAAATTTGGGGTTCTGATATGAGTAGGTTTGGGGTCCTCATGAGTCAGGGTTGCTTTGAACCTTTGTTTCCTCACCGGAACACAGCGGGCATCAGCTTTGAAATGCTCATAAACACATGTTGTTGGGGGGGGGGGGTAAATCAAAGAGAGGCAGTCTTGGCTTCACTTTTGGAGGGGTCCTATTGAAGGCATGATTCATTTAATCCTTGGAACCCTTATGAAACACTTGGCTTGAAGTGGGGTCCTGCTGTGGTCATGGGGGAGCTTGAGGGCTGCCTTTCAGAGGTGGACAGAGCTGGCTTTGGATTTGGGGGTCCAGATGTGGGCAAGGTCCATTTTAGGATCTAGCATCCTTATGTAGACTGGGGTTTGGCTGTACAGATGGATGGTAGGAGCTCGGGGGAGGGGTGTCTCAGAATTGGGTACAATAGGCTCGGTGTTGATACTTGTGATGTGGGCAGAGTCTGCTCTGGGATTTAGGGTGCTGGAGTGGCCAGGGGGCAACTAGAGGATTTGAGGTTCAAACATAGCTGTGTGTGGATAGACTTTAGGACCCTGAGGTGGGCAGGGTTTGTCTCAGCCTTCGGTATCCTTGTGTGGACACAGCCATGGAGGATTCCAGGTCCTGATGGTCATATGGTTAGCCTGGGGTCTTGGGGGCTCATATTTGGCCAGGCTTGTTTTGATTTGGGAATCCTAAGGTAGGTAGGGTTGGTTTGAGTTTCAGTATCCTCATGTAAATGCAGCTGCTGAAGGATTTGGGGTTCTGAAGTAGTAATAGGTAGTATGGAGATCTGGGTAGGTATATTCTGGATTTGGGGGTACCAGAGTGGGAAGGAAGCATTTGGTTTAATTTTGACATCCTCGTATGAATAAGTTGTTGGAGTACTTGAGGTTCTAAGAGAGTGATGGCTAGCCTAGATATTTGAGGCTCAAATTTGGGGTTCAGATTTGTTCTGGGTTCGGGGTCCCAGGACAGGCAAGATTTGTTTTGAGTTTTAGTATTTCTGTATAAACACAGTAAGAATTTGGGAGGCTATAGTAGTCGTTAGCCTGGGGGAGTTGGGGGGTTCAGCTTGGGTAGTTATGTTCTGGGCTTGGGGTTAGAGAATGGGCAGATTTTATTTTTAATTTTAGCACCCTCGAATGAATATATAGTTGGTATCAACTGGGGGGGTTGTTTGTGTTAGTGGTTAATGTGTGTGTGGGGGGGATCTGAACATTCAGCTTTGTTCTGGGTTTAGCATCCCTATGTAGACACAGCAGATGGAAGCCTGGCGGCATCTAACAGAGTCACAGTTAGATTGAAGATTTGGCCATGTTTGCTCTGGATTTGGGGGTCTCTGAAGTGGGTAAGATTTAATGTTTAGTTTCCTTTAATGGCCATTGAGGGTGGAGGACTTGGGTTTCTGAGGCTGTGATAATCAACATGGACACCTGAATTCAGTCTTGGCCAACTTAGCTCTGGGCATTGAGGGTTCTGGGACTGGCTGGCTTCTTTTGAGCTTGTGCAGTCCTGTGGGCAGAGTTGATGGGGTTTTAGGGTTTTGATGTAGTTATTGCTGGCTTGGAGATTTGGGGTTCAAACTTGGGCAGATGTGCTCTGAGTTTGGGGTTCTAAGTCCAGCAAGGTTTGTTTCAGCTTCTGGAATGCTTGCAGAGACAGGCTGGCTACAGAACTTGGGGTTCAACTTAGGGTTGGTTTTGAACTCAGGTTCTCACCGGGGAAAGGCCTGTCCTTGATATGGGGGGAGGGGGTCTATTGAGGACTAGTTTTGTTTCAAGTGCACAGTTCTAGGTGGACACGGTTGTTTTAGGGGTTTGGTCCCTTATGAAAACAGAGGCTCTGGGCTGCCAGGAGGGTCTTACTGTGGTTTGAGATTTGAGGTTCTGAGTAGCCCGGCCTTGCTCAAGGTTGGCAGACTGCAGCCAACTGACAGAGTGTTTACAAATCAGGTCCACCTTTATATTTGGGGTCTAATGAGATACCCGTGTGCTTGGGAGTTGGGAGCCCTTGAGTGGCCTGCGCTCCAAGGGACCCTTCTGGATTGGGTTCAAGATGGTTGGAGTTGACTTGGTCACCTTGGGTCCTCTGGTAGTTAGGTGTGTCTTGGGGACCCAGGGCAGGAGTGGGCCGGGGCCCTTGCGTGGAAGGAGCTCGTGGGGGGCGGGAAGGGGTCAGGCAGGGGCCACCTTGGTCCAGGAAATGCAGCCGCTGTAGGTTGAAGGGGATGCCGACCACCAGGTCCAGCTCCTCTTTGAGCTCCCGCACTGTCATGTCGTTGCGGCAGTTGGCCACGCGGAACAGCTCCCCAGTCTCCTCCAGTTTCACCCGCAGGAAGAAGACGTCAGGAGCCAAGTCTGGCGACGGGATGGAAATGCGCGGGTCTCCTGACTGCCCCTTAGGCCGAGCGCGGGCACGGCTGGCAGGCTGAGCAGTGCGCGCGCCCGCCTTGGGGTCCTGCGTCGGGGCCCCCCCCTGCGGCCTTCGCGGCTGCGCGCCCGCCCCCGCCACGTCCGCCGACCTCCGCATGGCCCGCAGCCCGCGTCATCTCGCACGTCATCACCGCCCCCGCCTGGGCCCCCGGGACTGGAGAGGGGCGCCCGCACTTCCGGAGACAGCTCCCTTCCCCTCCCTCCGTGGTCCTCACCAGCCTCCTAGCGCTGTGGGGAATCAACCTGTTTGTTCAAAGCAGTATGCTTGATCAGGGAGAACCACCCGGAACCGCTAGGCCCACCGTTTCTAAGGTGGTCTCTTGGCTTGCCCCCCACCCCCACCCCCGTGCGCTTCCAGAACACAGCAACCCAAGCAGACCTGGGTCACAATGAAAGTGGCACAGGCCTGCGTGGAAATGGCATAAAAACCATGCCCCCTGACACTACAGCATCCCTGAGGGAGAAAAGTATGGAACACATTTGTTGGAACAGGCTAGGCTAGAACCTTTTCAGGAGAGCTCACACCGGGGGTGGGGATGGGGGCCTCAAATGCCAGACCCCAAGCAAGGTCTTCAGGGGTGGAAGGAAGCACCAGGGAAGGGGCAGGGAGCCTGAACACCCTTCGACAACTCCGTTGTTACCAAAAATAAAGCTTGAAATATACGCTCTGTATAGCAGTTAGTTACAGAAACTGGGCCGAGGCATGGTGGCCCTGGCCATCCACGCACCCAGGGGCAGAGGCAGGTGTTCAAGGTGACATCCCTAACTGTACAGTGAGCCAGTGACACAAAGGGAGGCGGGTTTAATTCTTTTATATCAAAGAGGAACTCATTCTAAACAAGAGATAACTGTAACTTGTACAGTGCACAGGCTGGACCTTTTACCAGTCTTACAATCTGTTTTCTGCAGTGCTGGGTATTGACCCCAAGGCTCCACTCAGGCAAGGGAAGCTCTCTACCTATCACTGAGACACAGTCTACAGAGGAAGCTGGCTTTGTCATCAGAAGTAAGTGTTCACTGGATCTCAGTGCCCAGATTCTACCTCAGAACACCGACCGAATCTTTGTTCTTTATTTTTGCTTTTTCGAGACACTGTTTCTGTGTAGCCCTGGCAGTCCTGGAACTCGCTCTGTAGACCAGGCTGAGCTCAAACTCAGAGATCCACCTTCATTCGCTTCCGGAGTGCTGGGATTAAAGGTGTGTGCCACCCCCAGGCCTGGGTTTTTGTTTGTTTTCCTTTATAGAAAATTATGCTCTGTAGAGAATCCAAGATTCTAGCTGAATAATTTTGCTTATTTTTAGAACAATGGATTTTAAATACAATCTCCACTTCATAGGGAATAAAAACTTGTTACAGAAGCCCTGAAGAACGTTATACTTACTGTAGGCACATAGTAAACACAAGGTAGACTGTTTTTGTTTCTTTTTTTAATCTTTTGCCTCTAATTTGAAGAAATTAACTCTGTGCTAAAGCAGCCCAAACGTGGCCTGTGCTTGCTCCTGGAGTTCTTTACACGTTTCCCATTCTCTTTGGCACAGACAGTGCAGACCCTTCCTTTCTTTTTAAATAACAAGATCAATAGTATTTGGGTCCCTTCAGGGGTATCCTGTATACCAGGAAATTCAACATATGACTTCACACTTGCTCCAGCCCCATGGGCTGCTCCCCACCTTTGTTAAGATAAGAACCACAAAGCTGGGATAGACACAGACACAGAACCATAACCTAATATCTACAGAATACAAAATTAGTAATGAATGGAAACCTACTTAAACTATATAGCATCTTTCCATTCATCTGAGATTCCAAAGTAGGAAATCTAAGCTCTATGTACTTAAGCCAATGTAAAGAGTATATAACTTAACTCCCCAAACCAATGGTGCCTGTAGAAAGTTCTGGTCAAAATTATGACTTTTCTTTTCTTTCTTTCTTTCTTTCTTTCTTTCTTTCTTTCTTTCTCTTTCTTTTGTTTTTTGAGTCTGAAGTGTAAGTCAACATCCATGCATCTCAGCAACTTGACTTGAGTCCTTTTTAAAAACAACCTGTGACTGACTCTCTGCTCTCAAAGACCAACACACATTTTCACAGTCTCTTGAAGAGGGAAAGGGTAAAGGCTGAAGGAAAGACTCTGAGTACAGCAGTTTATAACAAAAGTACAACGCCTGAGAGGAGCCCCACAGTAGAGGCAGAACCATTCTTTACTAGGACACAGTTCAAAGGTCATCCAAACAGCTGCCCGTGCAGCAGCTCCAGAACAGGACATGACTTCACTTGACATGTTTGTTCACTGGGGAGGCTAGTGTTACAGTCATATATTTTCTTCCTGTCAAGTTATTTACATATGTACAGTAAGTATTTCAGTTGGAGATAAAATACAGTGCCATAAACTCCATTTTCTCAGAAAGGATTAGGGCAGCAAGCCCAGAGAAGACGTACAAGCATCTACTAAATGGCTTTATTGGCGAGGGGAGCTGTATTATGTTTCGTTTCCTTGGACAGGGTTTTGTTATGTAGCTCAGACAGACTTGGAATTCTCTAGATTGACCTTGAACTCTTGATCTCCCTGCCCCAGCCTCCCAGGTGCTGGGGTTACAGATGTGAACAATTATACCAGGCTCTCAGGAGATTTTAAGTAACACAGTCTCTCCTAAAAAACCAACTGCTGGCCACAGCTGATGGTGAGGAAGAGCCAGAAAGTTATCGGTGCCTGGATCTACAACCTTTCTAAACTGCCAAGGATCAGGTCTACAGGGGTGAGAAGCATAGGGCTGCCCCGTCACCTGAAATAAGCCTCTTCCAGAAGCTATGATACAACTGGATACAACATGTTACAGGCATGTGTGCACTGAAGCCATCTCTGTGTACCCGTCACAGGATGCGAGTTCTAGTTTTCCAGTATAGTATTGTCTATAGCATTCTGCATCTTTGGTTCGAAGGAAGCAAAAAATGAAACATCTTGGTCCGGATCAGACTGCAAAGCCAGGAGGGTCTCTTCAACAATTTCAAGATGATGGTTCCCGGCATTTCTAAAATATGCTAAGGAGAGAAAAGTTGGAGTTATATGTGCCATGAACTGTGTTCTAGAACATATTCTAGTTTTGTTGTCTTTTAAGCCACATGTCATGACACTGGATAAATTTTCCATGAATAGCCACATACCTAAGTATTTTCAAGTGATAAAATGCCTTATTCCAAAAGATTTCTGAGATTTGAATGGTAGACTGCCAGTAGTGACACCTGCTTTAAAAGTTAAGAGTAATCAAACCTTTAAATGCATCGTGTTCTGCAGCACATGAGAACTGGCATGTGTGGGCAGCAGGGCAGGGAGAAGGCTAGAAAGGAACGGACAAACAGGCCCACACTGTGGTGGAGAAGTAAACCAGCATAGACACAGCTTGCATTCACTATCACTCAAGCTTAAATAGCCCAGTGGTGTCACACTGCAGTAGAATTGAGACAGACTTTGGCTGCATTTCATATTATAACTGGAACTGATAAATGTGTTCCCCCGGTCTAGAAAGCTGTGTGATAGTTTGTATCTGGTGTATCCTTGTTAAACAAATGGAATTGTGTTCATCTCTTTAGCTATCTTGTGTTTCCAGTGTGTTGCTATTCAGCCTGTTATAACTCCTTAGGGACCTGGCTGCCACCTGCCACAGGTAGGGTTAACTGAGAAGCCAGCAAGGCCTACACACCCTTCTCCATCAGTGTCTGCCGCAGGGCCTTGGCCAGCAGAACCCTCACATTTGGCACAGGATCAGACGCCAGGCTCAGGAGGCTGGGAAGGAGGTGATCCACTAACTGGTCCACAGGGACAGACTCTTCACTCACCACAGCCTGTAGAATGAGAGCCACAGCCCAGCAGTGACTTCCTCAAGATTTCAAAGCACACATACTTCTGTAAGTCTAAAGACATCACTTTAGAATCTGGAGGTTTGAGAGGCACGTACATGTGAACTTTTACATTTCAGGAACTGAGTTCAGTTATACCCAGTGGCTAATGTTTATAACTCACTTCCAAGGAATGCCTGACAAGGAGGGCGGAATCTAGAGGAAACAAGGGTTTTGGAGCCAGGCAGCTGTAGGTCCAAAACTTAACCTGTGGCCTCAGCTAAACTGTTTAGCTTTTCTGAATCTGGGTTTCCTCAACTGAACCTTTGTTCCAATCACCTTGCACAGTGTCACCACACTGCACATACCTGGCCAGGAACCCCACCTCTCAGATAGGGACTGGCTGCCACGCAAACCCAGATGATGGCCCAGGCTTAGGCTTCTATGAGAGCTAGTCATGTCTACTTGAGCACAGCGGCAGATGTGTGCATCCCTCTTCCACTTACAGAGTGTGGGCAGCACATCCCTCCCTTTCTTCTCACAACTGGCCCTGGAGAGCAAAACTAGCCTTGTTTTACGGTGTGAAAATTCTGTTCCAATGTGGTGGTGCCACTGATAGTCTTAGGACCAGCAAGTGAGTAGGAACTTCAGCCAGGTGTATGGGTTCTGGGTCCTATGGGTATTCATGGTAGATTCCACGGCAACAACGTCAAAGGGCCATCAAGCAGCTCTGGCTGCCAAGCTTGCTCTAGGAAGCTGGACTGCATCAGGCTAGAGAGCCCGGACAGCACAGGAGGGGTACACTTTACTGTTCAGAGAGACTTGCTGGCCGAGGCAGGGAGCTCAGAGACAGGCTCTAGGCCAGTCAGGTCTATTCCAGATCTGCCTTGTCGCCCTAGTACCTTCTTCCCAGAGCTGTGTTCAGATCAAAATTAACAAGTCTCTGAGATATGCTATCTCCTGAGCCTCCTTATCTTGCTTTGGGCTTTTCTGGATTTTCTTTCTTTCTTTCCTTTTTTTTTGGTTTGTTTTGTTTTTCTGGATTTTCTACATCTTTAATAATAAGATTTTTTTTCTTAAAAAAGA